AGGATTAATATTTTGAATAATTAATCATAAATTATATCTCCTCAAGAGTTTTGTGCCAACAAGTGCTTTGTCCCCTAGTGAATATTCAAATAAGTAATCAATAAGCTTTTTGCCTAATTGTGTTCTCGGTATTATTGCCCTATCTTTATGTATAATGCAGTACTCATGAATGTAATTTAAAGTGAAGAAACAAGACTATAGCCAACCTAGTGATGATTTATGGAATTATTCTCTGCTCAGAGTATATTTCTGATTGTCAATATTAGTGAGCTTTTTTGGTGAAATTGACTTTTTCCCAGGAATGTTACTTGATCCTGTGGTTTGAGCTTTTGACAAATTATGTGTTTTTACCTCATAAACTAATTTGGTTGCTGCGGTGTTGCCAAAGACAGGAATTTCATAAAAAAAAGAAAAAGGAAGGAAGAAAGAAAGGAACAAAAGAAGAAAAGAAAGAAGGCAACAAACAAATCAGTATTTTTTTAGTAAGAAATATTTAATTAAATCCAATGAGCTATTTGTGCTGGGTTGAGTATACAGAGCTTACACTTTTCGACAGGAACAGAAAAAGTCTGTTCCAAATTCTTTAGGAATAATAATCATTAGCACTGCCCCCAGCTGTACTTAGGCTGAATGTAAGCAAAACCCTGACTTTTGGTATACATAATTAGAGCCTGTGGGAAACAGACATAGCTCAATTGCCCAGATTCCTTCCTCCCCAGGACTGCTGCTCCTATCTGCGACTCTGGGATATGCAGGTAGAGCAGTTAGTACAGATGGGCCATCCTGCTTGGGTAGGACCCAAGCTTTCCTCTTCTAATAACCTCCTGAGATTGATAGTCAGTCTTGAGGATTACTCAAGTGTCTTCTTTCAACCTGAGTTCCACATTTGTAGAGTTCATCTTACTGTGTATAGACAAAGTAAAACATGGAAATCTCTGGAAGACTCTATAGTTGGCACAAAATAAAATTGAAAAGACTGCTCGGGATAACAGTATTTAAACTCAAGATAGTTACATGTTAAGTTAGGTGCTGTATACAAGGTGCTAAGAGGAATCTATACTTACAGTGAGAGCCATCTTTCAGTATTTGTTAAATGAATGAACC